CACTGGATAAGTTACGAATGATTTCAAACGTATTCACTTTATGTAAGTAGGTAATACAATTTTTAAGATATGGTCCGAATTTTAGACTATAACAGAAATGAACATTATAAAAATTTCAACTTTAAAAGGACATATAATCGTGAACATAAACGATAAGAAATAAATTAAAGGTATTCATGCAAGTCCAGTAGATACAGTCGGAACAGTAGTGATTCCAATTTATATTAACAAACAACCTTTCGCAGTAAAATTCGACATTTTGCATAATAATTTTCCAATACCCGAAGCATTTATAATAGGCATATCATTTTTGAAATTAAATAATGTCGTTTTGGATTGGGATAAAGAATTATTAATAATCCCAGAAAACGAAAGTAATAACGCATCAATTATTCCGCCGAGGAGTAATTGTGTATTACAAATAAGAGCCGACGAAGAAATCAATTACGAAGCAATAACGATAAATAAATATGAAATTAATGAAGATGTAATTATAGCTAATAGTATCAGTCCGGTCAAAGGTGATAAAATAATAAGTAATATAATAAATATATCCGAACAACCGTTTATAATCGAACAATTAACCACGAGTAATTTAAAATGGGAACCGTACCACGATAACGTTTTTATTGCTAGCTGAAGCAATAACTACTCTTTAAATAGAATTAAAAAGATCAAAGAAACTATTAATACCGAGCATCTTAATCACGAAGAACGCGATAGCATATTAGACCTGTGTAGTCGTTTTTCTGATCTATTTTTTTCTCGAAGGCGATCTTTTGAGTGCAACTGACATTGTTAAGCATAAAATTAATACACCTAGGTGTGTTAAACCGATTAACATACGTCCATATAGGCTACCACACGCGTATCAGGACGAGATAGAAAAACAAGTAAAAGAATTGAAAGACGCGAATATAACACTTAATTCGTTATTACCATTTAATTTTCCACTCGTAGTAGTAAAAAAGAAAAAGATTTGAACGGTAACCAAAAGTTACGAGTATGTGTAGATTTCCGAAAATTAAACGAGGTTACGGAAAATGAAACATACGGCTTACCGAATATATTAGAGATACTAGAATTCTTAGGCTCATCTAAGTACTTCTCTACCCTTGATCTTGCCAGCGGTTATCATCAAATAATGATTGATAAGGGAGTCACCCATAAAATAGCTTTTTCTACAAAATCAGAGCATTATGATTTTTTACGTTTACCATTTGGACTTAGTTCTGCGCCGGCAACTTTTACTCGAGCCATGAAATCTATTTTAATAGGCTTGGAAGAATTATGTACGGCGTACCTAGATGACATTGTAGTCCGCGGGTCAAGTTTAGTAGATCATCAGAATAGATTAGAGCAGGTGTTTACGAGATTAAGACTACATAAACTAAAATTGCAACCCAATGAAATATGTATGTTTCTACGTAAAAAGGTGTTATATTTAGGGCACGTTATCAGCGAAAACGGAGTAACTCCTGATCCAAACAAATGAAATTGTATTAAAGAATATCCGAGACCACTAAACGAGAAGGACGTAAAGTCATTCTTAGGTTTATTAAATTATTACCTCCGATTTGTTGATAACTTTGCCAAAATAGCAAAACCTCCTACTAGCTTATTAAAAGAAAAACACACCGTCCATGTAGACGGACATGTGTGAAGATGTATTCCAAGAATTCAAAATTGCGTTAATGAATCCACCTCTACTTATCTACCCTAATTGGGAAAACGGAAATTTTAACCTCATGACTGATACAAGCCAATACGCGATTGGAGCGGTCTCGTCTCAAGGTGACGTACCTGAATATCAACCCATAGCTTACCTAAGTAGAACGCTAAATACCTCCGAAAGAAACTATAGCGTAATACAAAAAGAATTGTTAGCGATAGTATGGGCTGTAAAGTATATTAGGCGTTACTTATACGGAAAAAAATTTAAAATAATCACCGATCACTGTCAGTTCTACTAATCCTAAAGTCCTGAGCTTAATACAATCATCAATGATATATTGCATATTTATACCTAAAAAAGCTCTTTTTAGTCTAGTAACACCGTCGAGTTTGAGTGAAATGAGTTTAGACCGAACTTCATTGGCTATTTCATATTGTATGAGAAGCGACTCTGCATGTACATGTTTCCTAGGATGTAAAAATGTAAAATATATAGTTATTGATTACCTATTTATTGTGCCAACATAATTAAGAAAATGTCATTATTCATACTTAATCGAGTAAGAGTTGATTGTAAGGATTTTTAATGAGGTCCATTTAAAACAGGATCCAGTATTCTACGAAAGCCTGTATTTAACATGGTGAATGTCCATTAACTGTCACAAGATCAATACACGCATCAAATATTATCTTTTTATTGAGTTGTACATTAACTTTGGGTACTAAAAAGTTGAATAGTTTTACTTGTGATTCTTTTTTTGTAACTTTTTTTGAACAATTATTTTTTTCCAATTATTTTGACATATATTCTTTATGAAATAATTATTCATCATGGTGGGAAGCAAGATGACGTTTTAGATTCGTGCCATGTTTTCGATATTATAATATAAAAAAAAACCATTCGGGGGACTGCCGGTAGAAGTGAAAACTTCTTAAGCACATTGGGCACCCCGTAAGAAAGCATTTACGGTTGAGAAAAAAAGTATGAAATCGCGACACCGCCACCGCCACCGAGAGTACATGTATATATTATATACTGTGGTATTTACTGTTATACTTAAGTGTGAGCATGTATGTGTATATTATATACTAGAACAATTTCACTTAGTTTTTAAAAATTAAAAATATAACAATATAAATATAACGCGCGGTTGCTATACGTGACCAAACAAATACATATTATATATACTCGCGGTGGCGGTGGCGGTGTCGCGAGATCATACTTTTTTCCTCACTCGCAAATATATATCTATATATATAAAAATGAATGTATGTGTGTGTGTGTGTGTGTGTGTGTGTGTCTCCATATTACCATGGCAACCATATATATATTATTTTGAGATTTCCGTCGGTGTGTCTGTCCATATTTCCATGGTAACCAGTTGTATATTATTTTGTAATTTTCGATGGAATGTTTTGTATATAAATACAAAATAGAGTTGGCAATTTTAATGGGCAACGAAGTGCGCGGGATCAGATATTTCTATCTTCGCCCGTGTACAGTTTTTTTGTGTAACTTACTATAACTTTTATTTTATCAGTTTTTATATTTATTACAGGCTGCTTTTAGATAAGTTTATCCTAGGTTGCCTATGTATTGTAACAATCAGAAGTCAGCAAAAAATTACTTTATTTTAATATTTTGAAGACAAATTGTAAGATACAATTCTAATAGATGAAATATTGAAATAAAATATACCCAAAAAATTATAACTTTCTGTAATTGAAAAAAATGTTTTACGTATTATTATAATTATTATTACTATTATTAGTATTATTCCTATTATTACTATTTTTTATTCTTATTATTATTGTAACATTATTATACAAACCCACCAATATTTATATTGACATATTTTGTTCATCTCAATACCTATTTATAAACAGTATTTTTGGTACTGCCTTTTGGTATGCTTCTGAGAGCTGGGTATGTTATCAAACTCGTCAGATACAGATATAGTCAATTCATCTTCATGTGGTAAATAAACATCAAAATGCCCATTAGATAGGTTTTGCACAGAATTAAAACGAAATCTCTTTACGGGGTTGCTTTCTGAACCAAATTTTTAACTACGAATTTGTGATATAGAAGCCTACTATAATCCATCACATACATAGAAATATTATTTAAAAAAAAATATTTTTATATTTTCTATTTTCTTAGTAAGTATTAAGTAGTACCTACTTCAAGATTTTTATGTGGAGTGAAAACTTCAAAGAATTTAAATATAAAATCCAACATAACATATTATATGTTATATATTATGAAATAATTAATAATTAAATTAAATTAAAACTTAAGAATGTATGATGTAAGTAGGTTCCTAGTATCTAAACTCGGTTGTAAAAAAAAAATGTTGTATATTATACTATATTATAGCTAAGATACCTAGGTCTTAAAGGCATAAACACTTATAGTACCTACCTACAACAATTTATTTTATATTACATTTATTATAATTAAGTAGTAATTCTGTAGGTACTTACTTTTATTTTGCATTCTCAATTTTTGCACGCCGATTCGTTTAATCGATTATTGAATATAAAATTTATTTTAATAATAGGTAGAGGGAGTAGGTATCTTGATCAGATGTGTAATAACAAATAATATTAAGTGTATATTTATGTTCCCACTATAAAATATCTATTGGATCTTAGAACCGAAAAAAATTCGTAAAACCTCTACATCAAAATAAAGGTTTCGGTTTCGGTTTCGGTTACTAAAAGACGGTATTTAAGGGTTCCGTTTCGGTTTCAGTCCCAAGTTTTTCAAAAGGTTTCGGTCTTTAACCGGTCAATTTCGGTACGGTTCCAGGGGCATGGCCCGTTTCCGCCAAAAAACCGGTTCCCTGATTTATGCATAGCCCTTTTCCGCCAAAAACGAAAAAGGTATGATTCCCGTTTCCGCCAACAAGACGTTTCCGTCAATTACTATTTGGGAACCATGTACAATATTGAATATATATTCTATATCCTAAGTCAAATATAGTCTCAATAGAGTTTTGAAAAAGTACATACCTATCGTTATTTTTAAATAATTAAAAATGTCACAAAAAATAATAATTATTATAATACAAGTATAAGTCAAATATAGTATCAATAGTTTTGAAAAAAACACATATCGTTATTTTTAAATAATTAAAAATGTCACAAAAAATAATAATTATTATAATACAAGTATAAGTCAAATATAGTATCAATAGTTTTGAAAAAAACACATATCGTTATTATTAAATAATTAAAAATGTCACAAAAAATAATAATTATTATAATACAAGTATAAGTCAAATATAGTATCAATAGAGTTTTGAAAAAAACACATATCGTTATTTAAAAATCATATAATTAAAAGAAACTGTTTTGACAAAAGTGTACCTACTAATTTCATTGGAATTTTTTTTTGTAATTGCGTCTTCTGTAGTTTTTAAACGGTTTAATATTTTTTTGTTCTTTGGAATTTTTTTTATATTATTATTAGCGCTGTTAATTTTGATATAAGTATCCGTCTGTATTGTGTCTTTAAGTATATGTAAAAATGTAAAAAATGATGGGTGTGCCTTATAAAACTGTTCATTGAAATGAGAATGGAAAGATTCACAATTGTTGGTTGTTCTTTTTAATGTCGCTGTATGTGAAGCCCACATACTTGGCGGAAAATTCGAGTTATCATCAATATAATTTTCTAAGATATAATCGGCGTACCTACTATATTTGCTGTCTTCAGGGATGTCTGACATAAAATCAAATGAAAAACAATCCGATACCTCTGAAGGGTCCAAATATGTTAAACCAAAAGTGTGTTTTAACCAATCATTTTTTTTATATTCTAAGGTTAAGCCTAATTCTTGTATTTTTCGATACCAACTCTGAATTAAATGAAATCGGCAACCCACTATTATTACGGATGGCCATATTAACAATACAGCTTGGTGGATAGCTATTTCAAAATCAATTGTAATTGACTGTGGTTTAAAGATTAAATTTAAATTTAAACATTTTTGCACTACTTGAAATAATGCTTCCTTATATGATTCAATTTTTTTATCTTTTAGTAAACAAAAAACTAAAGGTATATAATACGTATTAACTAACCCGTGTATTGTAAATAATTGGGTAAATAAAGAAGGACAATATGAAAATGTGCCGTCAACATAAATTATTTCGGATTTACATAACATTTTTAAATTGGTATTGCAGGAAAATATTATTATATTAGAAATGTCATTGTTTACTAATAAAAATTCTTCATCATTAGTCGTCAAAGTATTTACTAAACTTACAGCACTGTGAATATCAGCTATACATGTTGGATTCGTCGGTAAAAATTGACGACGAGCGCGGTATACACATTTTCGTAATGCAGATATATCATTTGTTGTCATTGTTGAAGAAACTCCAAAAGCATTAATTTCTTCTAAAAAACAGTTGTTCCAATAATTTGGACTAATGTTATATAAGTTTAATAGTTGAATCTCACCTAGTATTATTTTTCTAGGTCTTTGACAAATATCTTCGACAGCTTTCCGCTTACATGTCGTTGCTAATTTTTGACGATCTAAATTTTTGAACGAACAATTGTCTCCATGATCACCTATAATAAAGAATTGATTGATTTCATTTTTAATAAATTATTAAATAAATATATTTATTTTACTCGTAGATAGAAAACTTACCTTTCATTTCAAGTATAACTTTTTCTTTTTCCAAAATAATGGCCGGACAATTTTTAATAAAACATCTCCACCGAGTCACATTTGTTTGTGACGTATAACCAAAAACATATTTAAATTTTGATTCAAAAATCAACATCTTTTTACCTCTTTTGCTTAAAACAAATTCCATTTTAAGTGTCGTTAAACTGGTGACGAACAGAACGGATACTGAATCGAAATATAAGAATTTAACATTTGTCAGATAATTATTGTGTGCGAATTATAAATAAACTATGATAAAGTATATGCTCTCTTCCGTTATCGACGATTATCAACAATTATCAAATATTATCGATGTATATATTGTTGTACCTATGATCTTCGCAATTATTTTCAAATGTCATTGCTTTTAACTATATATTACATTACTATATTTTATACATACCACAACATATATTGTTTAAAAATTAGAACCAATGGTTTCCAAACTTTTTTTGACGGAAATATCTTTTGGCGGAAACGGGAATCGTACCTTTTTCGTTTTTGGCGGAAAAGGGCTATGGCGGAAACGGTCAATATTATTTTGGCGGAAACGGGTAACTCCCGGTTCCAGTCCCTGGACTTCAAAGATATAACGTAGTTTAAAATTTTACGAGTTAGGTTACACGTAATAGGTAGGTTGTTCAGATATAGACATATATTTTATCTTTTATTTTACCTAATCCAGGTTAAGCTGATAAGCCATTAAACGAAAACATTTATTGCAAGTTAAATAGGCTCATTAGTAAAAACGTTCAATAGTAAGTTTATAAATTTTAGTCGTATAAACTCTGTATTCATTATCATTATTAGTCCATTAATTTTCCTTCTCTCCTCAGTCTTTAAAGTACTAATTATTAAAGGAATTATATCTCCATAATAATTATAATAATTTTCAAACTGTACTCATTATCAATACAATTATATCCTAATCATCAAAATAATACTTACATAAACAAAATTATCATTAACACTGTTAAAATTGTACAAATACTTTTAAAAACGTTTTTACAAACATTTTAATTTGGAAAAAAAAGTTAGGCACAGCAATATTTATTATTATTTTTTAAATATTTAAAAATGTATGAACAAATTAAAAAATGGTGGAAAGTGTGTACCAATCTGCTGTACATTAGGCATCGTGTGGTCACAGTACATGTCATGTTAAATTTGAATTAAATTATATAAATGTTTCTGACTATCTTTCATATCTTATGAGACCCATATTATATTACTTGGTAGGTATATTTCATTAAATTCATGCAATTAAAGTAATTTATTGCTTATGGTAAAGTGGTAGGTTGAATTTAATTTTAACATATCATTTTCAATATACGTATTTTAAAAGTTGCAAGTACATAAGAATAATAATTTTAAATTACAAAAAAATAACTTAAATCGTAATTCTCAATTCAAATATCTTATTTTGTCCAAATTTGAACTTAAAATGTATATTTAATTATAAAAAGGTGCTCTGCTGTACAGTAGGTTACAAGTGTTTCACTGTACAATTGATAATATTAAATTTGAATTCAATGGTATAATATCATTGTATAAGAAAAACGATTCCGAGCGGAGACGGTATATCAGTTTAGGTATAAGACATATTATATACTAATTACTAATCCATCGTAATAAAAAAAAATTACCTAAAATAGGTACCTATAATAAATTCCAAATTAATCATATCACAATATCAACAAACTCTGATACTATCATAGTCCATACTCTATAGATATATAATAGTGTACTTTAGAAGTTTCAAGTACCCACGAATAATATAACACAATCACAACAAAATAACTCAAATACCTAGTTATTCTAGGTTTTTTTTTATGTAATTTTGTCCAAAGTTGAACTTAAAATGACTAGGTATAAAAATAAACTGTGCTTATGTATTTTTTAGATTTTTTGGTAACAAAATTAACTACTTACGTGCAATCTTGTTTAAAATGTTCAATCCTTAGATATAAAAGTTGAACATTTTATACATTTTTAACTACAAAATAATTATTCAATTTTAAATTTTTATAAATTTTGTCAAAATTCGATCTTTAAATGCTTATAAAAAAAATCGTGACTATGTATTTTTAATATTTTTCAACTGATATTGTAACAATATATCAGGAGCCTTGTATTAAATTTTTACACTTTTTGGAACAACAGATAAAACTTTATTGATATTTATAGAATAAAAAACTAAAAAAATTGGAAACTGAAAATGTCCGTTAACAGCTCAAAAAGAGTCAAATTATTTTCAAATATAAATATATTATAGAAATTATTATTATATAATATAAATATTCAGTGAAATTTTCATGTATCTACATTTCGTTTTTGAATTACAACCAAATAAGAAAATCGCTACATGAGAAATCGAGTAAATATCCAATGTTGTAAAAATTTGAATTTCAAATCCTCATAAAAATTTAATTTGACTTTCTTATAGACATTTTTTTTTTTGATCAAGGTAGATAATCTTATAGGTATCTTGTATTACATTTTAAAACCTTAGATTTAAAAAGAAAAATTTTTACGAATTCTTAACTCAAAATAATTTGCTAATTTTCGTGATTTCTCCATATTTTGTCATTTTTTGAACTTTAAATGCTTATAAGAAAAAATTGTGACTAAGGATTTTTAATATTTTTCAAATGCCATTGTAACAATATAGTAGGAGCCTTGTATTAAATTTTCAAACTTTTGTACAAAACAAATAAAATTTTATTGATATTTTTAGAAAAAAAAATAAAAAAAGGTGGGCAAGTGGGTGTCGCTCTGCTGTACAGTAGGTTACAAGTGGGTCACTGTATAATGGATGGTATTACATTTGAATTCAATGATATTATATCATTGTAGAAGAAAAACGATTCTGAGAGGAGGCGGTATGTCAGTCTAGGTATAATACATATATACTTTTCGATGGTATTAAAAAAAAAAATTGCACAACAACAGTAGTTTTTTGATAGTATTTATCTTATATGAATTTAATATTTTTATGTGTGTATATAAAATGTATTATTTAGTTTTTTCAGTATCATTATAAGATGTATCATTATATGCATATTGTTTACAGAGTATTATGATTCATGAATAAATAGATTTAAATTTAATATATTTATTAGTTGTATACTAATTGGAAATATATTAAGATAAATTCCAACAGTGTATTATCAAAATTCAAAGTGTAAGACAATTATTTATTGTATTTGAATATTATAACATATAATATTACACATTCGGTAATGTAACAAATTGTATTAAAATTTTTAAATCATTGGTATAATATTATGAAGGATTGACAAAAAATAAAGACAAATTTGATCAATGGTTAATTTCTAATAATAAATACTTTTGTAGGAATAATAGTAAAATCTGGATCTCTACTTTATATAAGAAAGAGAAAACAATTAATATAAGGTAAGCGCCCTCACACTTTTATCCAGGCTTGAGACTGGCAACTCATACATAATAATAATAATAATAATATTATGTAGTTAATTAGTTGGCGGTTTACACGTTAATTTTTCAATGCTATGTTAATCAGATAGTAAATATTTTATGTAATTTATGTACATTTTATTTTTGGTTGGTGTATAGTTTTTGTAGATTGTTCTTACTTTAAAAATATTGTTATATTTGATAACATATATTTGAATGATAACATATACATCTTTGCGGTTATTCGGCCACCTTTTTTCAGCAATTGTTATGTCATTGGTGGAAACCCAATTAGAATGTGCTTGTTTCAGATATGCGATATAATGGCCAGAGCTCGTGTTTTGTCCAATATGTAATATAGCGGCTTGAGGTTTGTAACGCGCTCCAGCAATTTCTAAAGTACTGGACGGTACACCGCTAAGTTTTAAATTGGTTATCTTGTTGGAAACAAATTGTTCGTTTATAAAGGTTGTAGTAAATAATTTTAATTGAATTATTATATATTCATGGGCTAATATTATCTGATGTTTACCTTCACAACCTCCAATGTTATTACAATTATGGTATCTGCAGTCTGATATGGTACGCTAGACCATACATTTTGATCAGTTGAAAATAATGTTTGTAGAGTTTGTGATCTGTCTTTTGGAATATCCAAATGTAGGATCAAGTCAAACTAGTCGTCGGTGAATCACTAGTTGTTGTGTCTTGTGTGACTTCACAAATTGCAACAACTGCTATACAATTCTTGAAATCCAAATAATGAATCAAATGTATGTCTGTTACGGTTCAAAAGTGCTTCTAAAAATTGTACACAATCTTGTTGTTCTTGCCGAATATAAAATATTGTCTCGTCGTCCAAATATTCTCTGATTGTTCGAGTATTAGATGGGATACTGTTAATACTATAATCGTCCAGGCATTGTTGAAGTGTTGGTCCAAGTTCATTATTGCGAATTTGGTTTGCAAGTGATTCACAATGAAAAAGTACCTGTATGACAGAATTAGCATAACACGTGACATTGTCAATATTTGTAAAGCCACAAATACCACTCGATATTATGCCTACTGGATTTTCGATCTTTGGTATTACTCTCGATGTAGTTGTATTATTACTTGGTTCCAATAATATATTTGAGATTCTGTTACAATTGTCTGGAACCATGATAGTACAACTATCGACATGAATGAATTCAATATCGTCAAAGTTAACATTATTGAAGACCTCAGTTGATTTAGTTTTAGTTTCAACTACCTTGACAGTGCCACTATCAACTTGAAAGAATTCAATATCATCAAATTTATTGTTATTCCTGACCTTAGTTGATTTTACCAGAATATCTTTATTCGCTATGCTGACATTTGATTTTATCAAATTGTTTTCAACAACTTTTACAATTTGATCATCATCAGCTGTCTCATAATTTTTTTCAATTTCATTGCAAGTTTCTTTGTCCATAAGGAGAATAGGCCTGTGATAACTTATGAGAGACTCGTACACCAAAGCTGCAATTTCAAAATTTGATATGGCATTGTCTATGCTTGTTCCGTAATCTGTAGTTATATCATCCACTAATACTTTGTAATTGAATTGCTTTAATATTTGAACTAGTTGTTTTGGTGGTTTATTGAAGTTTGTATTGAAATCACCGATGAACACAACTTTTGTTTGGGTTGAAGCTACTTGTTCGATGAAATCACAAAGTTTCT